GGCCCTGGCGCTGACGCCCCTGGGATCCAAAGCTCCCGGAGCCTTCCTGGCTCCCAAGCGGCCGCTTCCCGACGACCGGCTGGGCCCCCACGGGGAATCCAAGCACAAGGCCTTCGGCCCCCCCGAGCTGCCCTTCAAGGCCAAGGCTCTGCACGACAAGGCCTGTGAGTGAGGGGGGGGATTCCCGGGGGGGGATTCCCGGGATTGGATTGTTGGGATGGGGAGTGTGGGGAGGGAAGGGGAGGTTTGGGATCGGGGCGTCCCCTGAGCCGAGTGAGCCTCTTGAGTGGGGGGGTTCCCTCTATCAGCAGGTCCCCAGTGGGGTCGGGGTGATTCCAGAGGTGGAAAACTGGGAATTTTGATCCCATGGAGGATTTTAAATACCATCCCTGATTCCGGTTATCCCACAGCCTCTGAGGCTCTGGGTATCCCTGTACCCTCATTCCCCCTTGGTGTCCCTGTGACTATTCCATATCCTCTGTAATTCCTGTTATCCCACAGCCTCAGAGGTGTGCTGCGAGCTGTGCGGGCTGTACATCTGTCCCACATTCCCTATCCCATATCCCACATTCCCTATCCCATATCCTGTGTAATTCCCGTTATTCCCTGTATTTTATCCCCCAGCCTCGGAGGCGTGCTGCGAGCTGTGCGGGCTGTCCTTTTATCCCATATTCCCTGTAATTCCCGTTATTCCCTGTGTTTCATCCCCCAGCCTCGGAGGCGTGCTGCGAGCTGTGCGGGCTGTCCTTTTATCCCATATCCCGTGTAATTCCCGTTATTCCCTGTGTTTCATCCCCCAGCCTCGGAGGCGTGCTGCGAGCTGTGCGGGCTGTCCTTTTATCCCATATCCCGTGTAATTCCCGTTATTCCCTGTGTTTCATCCCCCAGCCTCGGAGGCGTGCTGTGAGCTGTGCGGGCTGTCCTTTTATCCCATATCCCGTGTAATTCCCGTTATTCCCTGTGTTTCATCCCCCAGCCTCGGAGGCGTGCTGCGAGCTGTGCGGGCTGTGCTTTTATCCCATATCCCGTGTAATTCCCGTTATTCCCTGTAATTCCTGCAGCCTCGGAGGCATGCTGCGAGCTGTGCGGGCTGTCCTTTTATCCCATATCCCGTGTAATTCCCGTTATTCCCTGTGTTTCATCCCCCAGCCTCGGAGGCATGCTGCGAGCTGTGCGGGCTGTACTTCTGTCCCACATTCCCTATCCCATATTCCCTGTAATTCCCGTTATTTCCTGTAATTCCTGCAGCCTCAGAGGCGTGCTGTGAGCTGTGCGGGCTGTAGTTCTGTCCCACATTCCCTATCCCATATCCCATGTAATTCCCGTTATTCCCTGTATTTCATCCCCCAGCCTCGGAGGCGTGCTGCGAGCTGTGCGGGCTGTCCTTTTATCCCATATCCCGTGTAATTCCCGTTATTCCCTGTGTTTCATCCCCCAGCCTCGGAGGCGTGCTGCGAGCTGTGCGGGCTGTACTTCGAGAACCGCAAGGCCCTGGCGAGCCACGCCCGCGCCCACCTGCGCCAGTTCGGGGTCACCGAGTGGTGCGTGAACGGCTCCCCCATCGAGACCCTGCGCGAGTGGATCCGGCACCGCCCGCACAAGGCCGGTGCCTACCGGAGCTACATCCAGGGGGGCCGGCCCTTCTCCAAGAAGTTCCGCAACTCGGGGCACGGCCGGGAGCACCGGGGCGGCCCCCTGGGGCTGCAGCCCGCGGGGGTGGCTTTCCTGGGCAAGGGGCTCCCCGGGGAGCTGCCCCACGGCGACCCCGCCAAGATGCTGGACGGGGCGGGCGAGAGGGCCCTGATCACGTCGCCGCTGTCGCTGGTCAAGCTGGAGGAGCACCAGCGCTCCAACATCAGCAGTGAGTGCGGGGAGAGGAGGGGATTCCGGGGGGGAAGAAGGGCATGGGGGGGTGGGGAGAGTGGGGGGAGAATCCTTGTGGGAAGGGCAGTGGGGTGTTGGAAAAGGATTGGGGGAATCGCTGCAGGAGAGGGTGCTGGAATCTGGGACAATCCCTGCAGGAGAGGGCAGTGGGATGTGGGGCAATCCCTGTGGGAAGGGCACTGGGTCTGGGACAATCCCTGCAGGAGAGGGCACTGGGGTGTTGTTCCTCTTTTTCCTCCTTCTTCCTCCTCCTTTTCCTCTGTTTTCCTCCTCTTCCTCCTTCTGCATCCTCTTCCTCCTCCTCTTCCTCCTTTTTCTTCCTCCTCTTCCTCCTCCTCTTCCTCCTTTTTCTTCCTCCTCTTCCTCCTCCTTCTTTTCTTCCTCTTCCTCTTCCTCTTCCTCTTCCTCTTCCTCTTCCTCTTCCTCTTCCTCTTCCTCTTCCTCTTCCTCTTCCTCTTCCTCTTCCTCTTCTTCTTCCTCCTCCTC